ATGATCTCAAGCCCGCTTTGGCTTGTGCGCGAGAGGTGCTCAAGTCTGTTAAAGTCAGTGCGCCGGCACGCAAGCGGGCGGCGCCCGAGCAGGGGGATGGCCCTGCAGACGTGTCGGCGCAGCCGAAGCGTCGCCGCGCAAAGTGAGGCGGGGCTTTTATAAAACGCATGTCGCAATAATTCAGCACGTTTGCTTTAGTCCTGCGTCTTGTGGCGTGACTGCGCCGATTCAGGTGTTGCCTGGATAGCGTGTTGTGTAGACGCGCGCCGGCGCCGCAAGACTTGCATTAGCCTGGGTATATAGAGAAAAGTCATCGCAGCTCTGGCAGCTTTGTGCCGCGCTTTTGGCGTTTCGGTAAGGGCCGCAGTCTGTGGTATAGCTCAGTCCCCTCAAGCAATAACCGCTGCAGAGGATGCCATTGGGTTTAGGGTCATGAAGCGAACGTGTCTGCATGTTGGGCTTGTCACACTACACTCAAAGCGAAGACCTATACATACAGCGTTTGCTTTTCGATTTTTTTGCTGTTTCTCAAAAGCTATGGCCAAAAGACCACGTGATCCTCGCAGCACCGCCAGTGCCGCAAGCCAGTTCCACACGCTGCGCCAGATTCCATCCATCGGCCCGGCTCGGTGTCGCCAGATCGTTGCGGTGCTGGACGCGGATGGGCGGGGCACACGCGTGCAGCAACGACGTGATGAGGTGCATGGCGAGGTGATGGAGCACCTTCAGGTCATGGACCTGCCGGCCAAGGATCCCGCATCCAAAGTCCAAGTCAGCTACATGTCTGTAGCCGGCGTGCTGCAGGCTAAGTGCAACGCTTGTCCACTGTTCCATGACTGCCTCCGCGCAATAGCCCAGCAAAGGGACAACCAGCTGACGCTGGTGGTGTACCTGGACGAATGCACGCCTGGGAATGTGCTCTCTCCCGACAATGCTCGGAAATCCAACCTTACGTACTGGACCATCCTCCAACTGCCGCATATTTACCTTGAGGACACTTGGCTCACCTTGTCCGTGAGCCGGACGTCAGAAATCAGTGCTTTGCGGCATGGCATGGTCACTCTCGCTGCGGCGCTACTGCGAGCTGTGCGGGCGGAGACAGTCAGCGGTGTCCCGGTGGAGCTTTCTGGCTCGGCGGAGCTCCTGTTTTTCGACCGCGTGCTTCTTCTCGCAGACCACGAAGGCCTGCGCGCTGCCACTGGCTGCAAAGGATCTTCGGGTATGAAGCCATGCCTGAAGTGTGCCAATGTTATGAACACTGGCTACGGCAACGTCCGATGGCACGTGACAGTGGCCGAGCCAGACATAACAAGCTTCGTGCCACAGACTCAAAACAGCCTCCGCGCTGCGATTGACCACCTGTCAACCATGCCTACGAAAACTTCCCTCGGCGAGGCCGAAAAGCTCCTGGGCTGGAAGCTGGAAGAAGCTTCTGCCTCTTTTCTTCTTGCTCCCGACATGCAAGAATGGTGCGAGCTAGATTCCTGCACGTTTGACGCAATGCACGCGCTTTGGTCCAACGGCATAGTGGGGCAAGAGCTGGGCTACTGGTACACAGCCCTGCGCCGCAAGGCTAACCTCAGCCTCACAGACATGCGGCGCTACGTAGAGCTAGGCTGGCATGGAGTCGGGCGGGCGCGGGGCATAAACCTCTTGAGTCTGTTCACAGTCCACCTTTGGAGGGAGGGGGCCGACTTTCGAGGAGATGCGGGCCAAGCGCTGTTTGTGCTTTCCATTTGTGTGCAGTTTAGCGAAGACATTGCCATTGGCCTCTGCGCAGACATGCGCCGGGAGCACTCCTCTCTTGAAGCGTTGCACCGCGTGTGCTTGTGCGTCCTCGAAACGAAGCGCGACACTGCCCATGGCTCTCATCTGGCTCGGCTGCAAGCTGAGCACATCAGAAGCTTTGCGGCTGTCTACGGCGCTGATAAGGTCCGGCCCAAGCTGCATTATTCCTTGCACTTGCAGCAGCAGTGCTGGAAGTGGGGTCGCTTGGTTGACTGCTTCACTTGTGAGAGAAAGCACCGCGCTTTCAAACGTGTCGCAAGAAGGCAACAAATGCTAGCACGCTTTTCCCAGCAGTGCTTGCTCGAGTTAGCAAGCGCTGAACTCCGCTCCAAGCAGCCAGCCAAGAGGCTTCTGTGGCGCCTGGACGGTCGGACGACTGAGAACGTGGACGTCGGCACTGCGCTGGGCGCCACTGCTCCAGCCACCCTGGCCCCGCGAGCTCTTGGCCCAGACACAATCTCAAGAGGGGATGTTTTGATCCCCTCCCCTGCGGAAGCCTTTGAAGTGCTCGGGGTAACCTCCGTGGACTCGCGCATCCTTCTGCTGATCCACGTCTTGGAACCAGCAGACCTTCATTTCAACACGACCCGGTCGGGACGATCGAAATGGACACGCGCGAGCACGCTTAGATTGCACGCTGTCCATATAGAAAGTGTAGCGTCAGCGCCTCGGGCCATGCACATGCGCGAAGAGCGCATTGGCAACACCACGCACATCTGGCTGCTCGAGTAGGAAAAACGGCCTCTGACACGCTGCCGGCTGAAGAAATTCGTGATCGAACCCACCATGGCTGAAGAAATTGGATGCAAAGCGCGCTATAAAAAACACGTAAAACACAAACGAACATGATAATGCGCAGAAGCTGAGCAAACAAGTTAAAAAAGTTAAGTAACTTATAAGTAACTTATAAGTTCCGCCTAACTTCCCTACAGCTAACTTTCATAAGTTCTCTATAACTAACTTATAAGTCCTTAAGTTGCCCGAGCATTCTAAGTATTGGCTACACTGCTGGCGCTGGGAGTCCCGCTTTCCTGGAAGAAGACGGCGCTCTCCCCGATCAATACCTGGTTGGGTTTTGTGGTGGACCCAATCACGCCCTGTGTACTGCTGGCTCCAGTCAAGCACGTCATAATCCTGGCCACTCTTAAACGGCTGGCCCAGGGGGACATCTTCACCAGCAAGGAGGTGGAACAAGCCCTAGGCCGTATTCAATGGGCTACTTCGGCGTGCCCATTGACGAAACCTTTCCTCCAGCCTTTTTGGAGCTGGAAGAAGGCCTGCACCACTTCGGGCAGGCCACCGAAGCTGGTTCGTGCTCTGGCCATACTTTTGGGGAGACTCTTCAACCAGAGGTTCCCACTGGCATCCCCATTTGCTCCCACACTCCCATGGACGGGGGCATCTGATGCGGGAGCTGGCAGACAGGCGGACCATGCATGGGTGGGTGGTTGGTGCTCGGACGTGCCCAACCCCGACAAGTCCCGTGTTAAGTGGTTCCAGCACAGAATCACACCGGAGGGCGAGCCGTGGGCCTTCACTACTGGGGACCCGCAGCGGGCGATAGCGGCCTTGGAGCTCTTCGGCCTCCTCCTTTTGGTGAGGGCCGTTCTGCTTTGTGCGGCCGGCTCGGCTTCTCACACTAGGATCCTGGTGGCTAGTGATAACCAGGGAAATGTTTTCTCCCTTCTTAACGATTCCACCCGTAGGATGCCCAATGCGGCCATCCTCATGGAAATTGTGCTCACGCTGCATGACCAGCAGGTCATGCTGGGGCCGTCGCATGTGAAACGCGACTTCAACACGTGGGCGGATGAGCTTACTCATCCGGACCCGCAATTCCCGACTGAGAACCGGGTCTTCCCCTCAGTCGAGAGCGAATTGATCACACTGATCTTCGCTACATTCCTTCCTCACCCATGATGCCGGGAGGGCATCCGGTGAGGTGGGAGGATTTCTCCCTCGCTGTGGGAGTGGCATCAATCCTACTCCCATCAGCTGCTGAGGGGAGCTGCCCAGTGGAACTGGGCAATCCTCCCATTTTGGCACTAACCCTTATGCGGCAATAAAGGAGGCACCGTTTTGCGAATAAGGCCTCAGTAGCACCTGAGTGGTGCTTCAAAGAGTCTTGGCAAAATTAAAAGAAGTTAGAAGAAGATTCCGTGTTGCGGCGTGTTGCGGCAACTAATTGAAAGCTAGCTCTCTGCTTTGGGATGCTCGAAAGTTAGCCTAATCGCTATGCCCGGATTTCGTGGCAGGCGCAGCACTTTCACAGATTTCGTGGCAGGCACAGCCCTTGCACAACGTCAGGCGCAGATTTCGAGGCAGGCACTGCGCTTTCGCAAGGCTGATAGCTAGATAGATAGATAGATAGATAGGTACGTAGGTAGATAGGTAGGTAGGTAGATGGAAGAGAGCGAGAGATGGAGAGAGATATAGACAGACACATAGTTATATAGACAGACAGACAGAGATGTTAGAGCCAGTAAGAAGTTCGATAATTTAGATGGAAATCTGGAGATGGTTAGTCACATTGATAGATAAGTTGAATAAAATCAGATTGATAGGAGGGAGGTACATAGATGGGTAGACAGAAAGGATTGAAAGGCGCACAGAAGTGCATGCGAAGGGGAAGGAAGGTTCCGTAGGATGAAGGAAAGAAAAGCAACTTCGAGAAATCGAAGGATAAGTGCTTGTTGGCAAACAGCAGGAAGAGAGCATGAAAGAAGAACAGAAAGAGAAAGATAACCATAAATTCCTATATTTTTGAAACTGCCGCCCACCGGCTTCGCCGGCTCTACTCGCATGGCAGGGTAGTTCTGCGCCAGGGGGCCGGAAGCTTCAAACATGTCAGTATAGTTTGGAGCATGGTTTCTTTTGCGTATGTGTGTCTTTTTCTTTTGACGACTTCCCCAACAGCGGCATTTGCCGGGCTTCTAGTTTTGTGCCCTGGGGACTTGCTGGGGTCAAAGTGACATTCTCACAAGTTGGACTGTAGGGTGTGGACAGCCCCATGGGACCACTTTTAAGGGGCCCTATGTGTTCCTTTTCGGTGGTCCTGGACATGGCCTTTGCGGCCCGTAAGTGAGTTCCTTTGGTAGGCCCTGTGAAAAAGAATCCCTTGAAATAGCCTGGATGCCCGAACCATTGCAAATAGCAAGGGGCCCTGTAAATTCAAGCATGCTTTTTAATGATCCAGCTCCCTAACATCTGAGGTGATGCTGACCTACCTGCGCCCCAAGCTGGGTGCGAGTTTGTTGCAGGCGGAGTCGCGGCCGTTCTCAACTTTTGAAGAAGGCAAATTGCTGACTGTGCATCTCCGCGCAGATGACATACGCGCCTCGGGTCCAATTGAAGTGTTTCTGGAAGAACAATGCCATTCAGGCAAGACTACTCAATCCTATATTGAGAAACATTCCGTTCCCTTGTGACTGTCCAAAGGGAATACCACCAACAGCAATTGATCCACAATCAAACCCTGGGGTTCAAACCGCCTACCCAAAACCATGCAAATAATCCAAAAGGCGGATATCAGCACCCTGAGAAATTCCTTCAACATGAAAGGAACTGGGCCCCTGGAGAATACATAAAGTCAACAAAACTGGGCCCCTGGAAACTGCACTTGGGCCCAAAGGGCCCCAAGAGGAATGCGACGAGAAGGAGATTGCGACGGGAACCACGGGGTTGGTTTTACCTATGAGTTTAGGACGTGGTGAGTGGGAGTGTAGCCCATGAAGAGACACAGTTATTGGCTCGAAGGTGTGACATGTATCTGCTTGACCTGTCAGCTGCAGGTCAGTATCCACGATACGAATGGGGCCAGCCTCCCTGCAGTATGTATCAGAAGATCATTGCAGAGCACAACTACACCAGCGTCATGGTTGTCGAGAAGGGCAGGAACCCAGCTGGAAAACAAGATTGAAAATAGCGCATTTGTCCGCGAACCCCCAAACAATCTTGGGTTGGCCGTTTATTTCAGGTGGCGCTTCATGCCAACAAATCATGCAGTCAAGAGATTGCCCAGAGCATGTCAAGCGACTGCAAGCCGCCAAATCCCCTGAGGATGTGCGCTTGCGAGTCCTTGTTCGAAAGTCTGAATGCTGCAAAGCGAGTGAAGGTGCAAAGGTCCGACGGGAAGTCTGTGGTCGAAGATTTTGCGCAGATGATGAGGGCGCAAAACTTTGTGCTTTCCTTTTCTAGCTTTGCGATCAGTGCTGCCATGCTCTTTGCCAGCACAGTGGCAAGGGCTTATTGTTGCAGTCACAATTGGTTGTTTTAGCGTGTGTGTGTGTGTGTGTGTGTTTTCCCCACTGAAGGGCCCTACACTTCGCAGTGTCAGCCAAGGCTCAGCAAGCAGATTCGGGTTATGTACCGGAGAAGAGACGCTATGTGGGATGGCATCCTCCATTCCATCCTGAACTGCAATGTTTGGCCGGGTGTTGTCATGTACGAGTTCAACACCACCTTGCAGACAGATGGAAGGAAAGACAGCCCAAGGGAGTGGCTGCAGAATTTCAAGCTGGAAGACCTGCAGGGGCCATACACGTGCAGCTTCGGCAGCTCTATTTTACCAGGATTTTGAAGGCGGTTCTGCCTGCATATAGAGTTACAGTAGCACACACGAGGAAGCACAACTTCCCAAATGTTGTTTGTCCTATAGGCCGCGAAAGGGTTTGCGAAAGGGGGTGTGTCATTCGCGTGCTCGTAAAAGGGTTGTGGAAGGGGCTGTTTGCGTATGAAACTGTATGTCTCCTGTGCCGGTGAAGGCCCATTTCTCAATCCACGAAAGCAATGCGAAAGCGATTACCTCATGAATACGTCTTGCGAAAGAAGCGACAGCTAGCACTTGCAAAACGGATTCGTTATTTATTTTCGGCCGCGACTCAGTTTAGACACCGCTTATTTGATAGCGTCACATCGGTTTGGGTACTGTTATGCAAATCCTGTTTGGACCGTGTCAGTTGGCAGGGCCACGCGGTGGATTTATGTTGGCACGAACAAGTGTTAACTTGCCGGCGTCGCCAGCTCAAAGTTGCGAGCAGCAGAGGTTTTCATGTGTCATGACTTTTCAACAAGGGTCAAGAGACCCTGGAGATTTAGTGTCAACAGGGAACACTTTGCAGAGGACTGGTTGCTTCCCACCAGCTGAGTCAAAAACAAACTGGGCATACTTGCTAGGTTAACCCTGGATCCCAGGGTTGCAGTTAGTCTTCGGGTAAGTGGGCCGCCGCTTGGAATTTGGCGTGTCAAGTTTGAACAAGCATGCAGCCGCGCAAGTCAAAACTAGTGTTCACAAGATTTGCTCAAGTCGAATTTGCATCCCGGAGCAGTTTGGTAGCATCAGTGACAGCATCAGTGCCTTTGAAATAGGGGGCTGTTGTTGGTTGCTCCAACAAAAATACATACACGTGTTTTTTTTTGACTCGTAAGATTTCGTGCAAGTTCCGCACAAGCGTTTCGCAAGCGGAAGCGCAAGGCCGAGGTGGTTTCATGACTGAGTACCCTCCAGGCCCTACCTGCTGCTTTGCTGCCAGCTGCGATGCTTCTTTTGCTCTGGCCTGTTTTCTTTTTCTTCCTGGCTCTTTCCTTCCCTGCTTCCCTTCCTGCCTGTTTCCCTGGCGTCCTGCTTTTTCGTTTGGCTTGCCCATGCTGCATGCTTGTGAGCTCTTTGGCACACATGCTTGCACAGCGGCCACTTGTGAGGTTCCAAGTTTGAGGCCCCAACTAGAGCACAGCATTTGAGTGTAGGATGAGTGTGAACAGCTTATTTTTCCCTCAGCTATTCTCTGAATAGGTGGAAGCATGTCCTTGTCCCAGCCAGGTTCCTGAAGGATGAGGTCACATGGTGTAGGCTAAGCCCCAAGAGTTTCACGCGTGTTTGGCTGGAGCTTTCGCAGGTTGAAGGCGTAACATGGGAAGGGATTAGACTTGGGAGTAGGGTCCACGCCTTTAGAACAAGCCAGTCCCATGTATCATGTTCGGCGGCACCCCGTTTTTACGTGCTTCCTCGGCTCGTTACACAGCGCCAGATGGGGCGCCCTGTTTCATGGCCGAGCAACTGAAAGTGTCTCGAGTGCCTTTTGTGTGCCTCCCGAGGGGTTTCACATAGGCAAGGCCCGACATTGCTTGGCAAGCGTTTGCCAACGTTCAAACTGGAAAAGGACGGCGCTCAGCGTGCACCCACACGCACACACACTCACACACGGGGTGGCTGGGTTGCGCTTTGTTTTGTAAGACAACCTTTGCTAGTTAGTCAGCTATGACTAAAACACACACCGCCATTATCAACTTATAGAATTCACCTTTTGCAGATGGCACTCCCAACGCCGCCAAACGTTAGCTGCCATCATACACGTGTTGTGCCACTTTGCAAGCACTAGCCGGGTCCCTCTTCAACTCAACAATTATGAAGCTGCCTTGCGGGCCGACAACGGTCGGATAGCTGCTCGTTCGGGCATCAAGCCGCAAGTTCCTTTTGGGATCTGTGAGAGGACAACCCCTTCCCGGTTACTGACGAACACAGGCTGGTGAAAGTACAGGTTTGCTCACCAAAGACTCTGCAGAGAAACAACCACCCAGTTGGCAAAGGCGCACGGTTGTTGCGGGGGGGGCACCCCTCATCTTTGGAAACACCTATGTTCTCAACGCGTTCTTGCGCAGTTCCGTCCCCGAAGGATTTCCCTGACTTGCACACGTATGTGAAACCAGTGTGTGAGTGTGTGTGTGTGTGTGTTTTGAGTTGTTCTTCTTTCTTTTCTGTTTTTTGTTGGGGGAGGGGAGAAAGGTTTGTTTTTGGCCTAGCCCTGGCACAGAGCTAACCCTGGCAGGTGGTTGGTTGGCTGGTTGGTTGGTTGGCTGGCTGGTTGGCTGGTTGGCTGGTTGGCTGGTTGGCTGGTTGGCTGGTTGGCTGGCTGACTGGTTGACTGGTTGGTTGGTTGGTTGGTTGGTTGGTTGGTTGGTTGGTTGGTTGGTTGGTTGGTTGGTTGGTTGGTTGGTTGGTTGGTTGGTTGGTTGGTTGGTTGGTTGGCGGCTCGGTGAAACAAAGGTCTGGGATTGGTTTACCTTAAACTTTAAACCACCCTTCGCCCGCTTAAACACAACCATGGCCGAAGCCAATTTTACACCCACCCGAGACCAACCCCCAGAAGCCCCACCATAAACCAGCACTAAACCATCTGCCGCAAGCACAGCCACCCCCAAATTTGCTCCCAATAAGTTTGGAACCCACCCGGAGCTGACCCTGAGCCAACCTGGAACCCACCCTAAACCCAGCCTAAACCAATACCTGGTGATGCTGAGGATGTTGAAAACGATGCTGACGATCCCGGGCCCGAACCTACCCTAAAACGGACTACCCCAAACCGACCCTAAACCTACCTCAAACCTTTGTCCATTAGTTTTCGTGCACGCCAGGCTCTGCCAGGGTTAGGCTAGTGCCAGGGCTATGAAAAAAGAAACACCTCAACCGGGGGGGGAGAGGGGCGGGGATTAGAGGGAAACAGGAAACACAAGGAGAACCACAATTTGCGGGGGTCCCCTCAAGAAAGAAGTAAAATGGCTTGCCATTGGCAAAAGGCCAAACGCGCTGGCGTTCCTCATTTGCCAGTTTCTCTTTTCGATGGAACCGGAAGGGCAGAAGCAAGTGGCTCTTGTTGGATCATATCTTTGGCCTTGCCTAATTCGGGCTTTCGCAATTCCTGTTTGGCGCGCAGGATTTGACGCACTCAACGCTGCTTGATCTGCTGCTTGGCAAAATCTTGCTTTCCTCACCTAGAAGGTTTCTAGCAAGAAAGGCTCCGCTTGGAAACTGACATGCAAAGAAGCGGGTGCTCGTCATGACTCCCTTTCTTGCTGGGGTCACTGGGGGCTTCCTGGACGAGGTGCCCAAAGTAAGCCAAAGCCGGGATTCAATTTTGGAAGCGCACTGCGTGATATTTGCCACCTCACCTAGGCTTTCGAGAGTTCTCTAAGATTTATTATGCAGCAATCCACTCAACTTGTGGAGTGTCAAACCATGCTCGTCCGTGCTAGGACTACAACGAACATCAATGAACCTTCACCCCTTGCACGAGTGCTTTGGATTGGCGCACACAGCTCCTACCCACGGTGCCAGGGTTTCGGGCAAGCACAAGGACTTTGACAGTGAGTCGCAAGGGAGCCGTTGGAAGGTCAGAGTTCACACCCAAGCTGTCAGAGTTCGTCGCCATTGCCGAACAAACGCTTCCCCTTTCTAGAACTCTGTTTGTTTCTTAGGTCACAGCTTCAAATTGCCGAAACTCGGGCAGATTCAGGGACGATCGATGGCAGGTACATTTTGCCAAGAGGCATTCTTTGGCCGGATGGGTTGCTTGAGTTTGCCATGAGGGGTCACTACTCTTTGTGGGATCCGCGACCGTCCCAGGGATCCTCACAACGCTCGAGCAAACCGAGGTGTGGACGGCCGTTGGAAGCCGCAGGTCCCTGCCCTTTCCCTGTTGGTTTTCAGCATTTTTTTTGCCTATAGGTCAGGGTCTTTGTGGCCCAAGTACATAAAGCCAGCCCAAAGCGATGCCACACTCTTTCTGCGCAAAGCTTATGCGGCCTGACGCTGGCACGAGTTTTCCTTCCGCAGCCGGATGACCCTCTTTCAATCGCAGCATAACTAGTGTTTACGCTCATTTACATCACAGCTCATCACGCTTGGCCAGTGTTGGTCAATGCGGCATCTTGACGCTGGGCATGTGTGTGTGTGAGTTGATGCGTTCCCAGGCTATAGACGCGAGTTCGATGCAGTGTAAATGCGCTTCAGCTGGGGCACAGACTCGTACTGAGTTCAGCTAAGGGTTCGTGGCCATGCCATCTCATGACACATTTGAGGTGAAGCCCGCAAGCTGCGACAGCGGATGGCCCTAGGATGGCAAGCTCAGATTTTCGGGCTTAGTGCTGCCTAAGTTTCCCTGAGGCTCAAGCTTCACCGGTATGCTTCATGTTTGTCTATGATTTTGTGCCAGCACGCCTGCAGTTTCCTGTCAGCACGGGCAAGAATATGTTGTGGCCAAACAGGTGTCGACCGACACAGCTCACGATGCTAGTGGTGGTGTTGGTGATGGGCAAAGTCTGGTTGACACGCTTGGGCTTTGACTTGAACTCAAAGAATGGCCCGCGCGTTTGGAAGCGAGGGTGGAGGGGGAGCAGGTATGAGGACATTCATGACGTGTTTTTTTAGGCCGATGGGCAAATCGGATAGGTTTGAACACTGTGAAATGTGACAAATTATGCAGATGTTGCATGAGGGATATCTATTAAACCTGTTTCTAAACGGTGGATGAGATCCCTTGCTATTGATGGAACATGAATATCCTTGCAGGGAGTGTGTTCCAAATAATTTACATTCCTTGACATGGCTCAGCTCGCAGCTGTGATTTGCCACGTAGTAAGCAGTGCGACACGTTGCCTTGGCGACTTTGTAGCCTGCGTTTTGTGTTCAGAGCGAGTGGTTGCTCACCAGAGCTAGCCTGTTGTGATGACCTGTTCGATTCAAGCGTTTTGGTAGAGTGAGATACTCAAGCAGGCGGCCCAACTTTATGGGCCCTAGCCATTGCAGTTTTGAGGCTTTGCAGTTCGCCTAACATGGTGCCCCACCTAAACCTGACCAGCGGAAAACGACACTGCCAACACACAAC